GTCTAGTATTACTGGACAAGATATTAGAAACCCCCTCCACACTGTCTAGTATATCCACTGTCTTAGCATTACTGAGTAAGATTTTAGAAACCCCATCCCCCCTGTCTAGCATTACTGAGTAAGATATTCGAAACCCCCTTTCCATTGTCTAGTATTACTGAGTAAGATTTTAGAGACCCTTCCCACTGTCTAGTATATTGGACAATATTTTGGAGGAGTCTTTCCCACGTACTGTCTAGTATTACTGGACAAGATATTAGAACCCCCCTCCCCACTGTCTAGTATATCCACTCTCTTAGTATTACTGAGTAAGATTTTAGAAACACCTTCCCACTGGTCTAGAATATTTGACAATATTTTGGTGAAGTCTTTCCCACTATCTAGTATTACTGGACAAGATATTAAAAAAAAACTCCCCACTGTCTAGTATATCCACTGTCTTAGTATTCCTGAGTAAGATTTTAGAACCCCCCTCCCCACTGTCTAGTATTACTGAGTAAGATTTTAGAAACACCTTCCCACTGGTCTAGAATATTTGACAATATTTTGGAGAAGTCTTTCCCACTATCTAGTATTACTGGACAAGATATTAGAACCCCCCTCCCCACTGTCTAGTATATCCACTCTCTTAGTATTACTGAGTAAGATTTTAGAAACCCCCTCCCCACTGTCTAGCATTACTGAGTAAGATATTAGAAACCCCCTTTCCATTGTCTAGTATTACTGAGTAAGATTTTAGAAACCCCTTCCCACTGGTCTAGAATATTTGACAATATTTTGGAGAAGTCTTTCCCACTATCTAGTATTACTGGACAAGATATTAGAAACCCCTTCCCACTGGTCTAGAATATTGGACAATATTTTGGAGAAGTCTTTCCCACTATCTAGTATTACTGGACAAGATTTTAGAAACCCCTTCCCACTGGTCTAGAATATTGGACAATATTTTGGAGAAGTCTTTCCCACGTACTGTCTAGCATTACTGGACAAGATATTAGAAACCCCCTCCCCACTGACTAGTATTACTGAGTAAGATTTTAGAAACCCCCTTCCCACTGTCTAGTATATTGGACAATATTTTGGAGGAGTCTTTCCACTGTCTACTATTACAGAACAAGATTTTTGGTATGCTCTCCCATTGTTTTGTGTATTGCATTTAATGTATTCAAATTTGTTTTATAAAAGTGTAAAAAAAATCTCTGAAAAAAATCTTATTCAGAAACTAAACAGGTAACATTGAATAAAACTGGTGAAACAATCAGAAGTTTGTATCAAATAACATTTTATGAATGAAAATCAGGGTCACCTCCAACAGAAATAGATAACGAAGTTAAAGTATTAAGCATAGAGAATAAGAATAAAAGCCAAACATAGAGAGGGTAAGAGAGTCTATTAGTTGTGTGTTAGGAATAAACAGTTAACAAACATAGAGTTGATCATCAAAATACACAAGTCTGGACTACAAAGTTAACTCATTCACCCCTGAGGACACATTTAAACTCTTCCAATTCAAAGGTTGGAATAGTACATTATGAAATTTCAGGGGTGAATGAGTTAAGGATCCCCGTAACACTGCCAAAAATTAACAACACACTGGAAACTGATTTTCTGGCATGACTATTCTGTCTTTGCGTATTGCAGAGTTATCTTCTCTTGTGAGCAGGTATTGATTGTTACGTCGTTAGTTTGTGTGAGAAAATTACGTCGTTTTCTCAAAAACTTATGACGTTAATCTCACAAACAAATGACGTAACAATCAATACCTGCTCACAAGAGAAGATAACTCTGCAATACGCAAAGACGGAATACATTGCAGGACTTTAAGAAAACTTTTAAAGATGAATTAACAAAATATAATCAACAAAATTGTTCTGCGAGTAAAAATTCAGCGGGGCTAGACCGGGGTTCGAACCCTGCACTTCAGATTGTTAGACCATTGCTTTAACCAACAGAAGTGTCCTGGCCTAACAATGCTACAGTTAGAATTAAGGGGAGGTAACTTTGTATCTGAGAAACCACAGTGCAGTGGGACAGGGATCCTAAATATCATGGGTTGATATGTGTAGAATTGAAGAGCTGAGATCAGCGTTGTCAGATGACTTGACCTGACCAAGGCAGTAGGGCCGAAGTCTGTCTGAGGCTGCTGAAAACTAAACTAGTCGCTGGTCTTCAGTCCACCATATCAACCCATACAGGAGAAGGTAACTTTTTATTTTATCACATGATTGACTGTAGGCCAAGAAATACCTGAACATCAAAATCTCACTAAACGTACATTTCATATATAAAGAAGTTTTTTTTATTACATAACTGCAATCAAGCAGTGAATTTAACAACAGATCTATATGATATCTAATGAGCCTCACTTTGGATTTCAAGGTCAAATACCTCCAAATTTATAATATTGATGACTCTAAGATATTGGCTATCCCTATACACAATACAGGTCAGACAAAATATATGTTGGGTCATGTGATTGAATTCAGCCAATAACATTAGCACAAAATGTTTGTGTATCTTTAAAACATACTAAGTCAAGAGGGAATGTGTACTTTGCATTTTGGCAGATTTACGTAAATTTCACAAGGTATTTTTCCAGGTATGCTGGTACATATTTTCCTCATGTAATCTTTAATCATTAGAGGGATACAAGAGAGAATAGCCAGTAGGTCTAGCATGACTAACAGTGAATAGGCATGCATTAGTGTTCTTATTTCAGAAGGTCAATGTCATGTACGTATAGAATCACCCCATACTCACCGATCGCATCGGTCTGTGATGTATATATCTGTTGTGTATATGGAAATGTATTATATAAACATCATTACTTTTGAAAATCGTAGAATTCTCATTACATGTTTTTACAGGTTTTTTGTACTTCCATTTGATAGCCTTTTAACTCATTCACCCCTGAAGACACATTTGAACTCTTCCAATTCAAAGGTTGGAATAGTTCATTATGAAATTTCAGGGGTGAATGATCATGAGTTAAATACAAAGTATTCTGATGAAAAAACATATTACAACTATTACACATGAAAGTTTAGCATTCAGAAACTGTTTGGGTCTTTCAGTCTTTATGTTCAAGTATTTCAGAAGCAATTTTGTCTTCGTGTAAAATTCAAATTCTGAGGGAAATGTGTAAATGGTTTCTGATTGACCCTCTTTGTCTAACTGAAATGATTACCATCAATACCAGGACATTGCTTCCCCCCTGAAATCATTAGTTCACAAATTAGTAAATAGGTAAGTCTAACAAGTACAGTATAATGAAATGAAAGAAACCACCCGCATTTTATTTTTATTTTTTTTGTCATATGACTATACAGCAGAGGAATATGTTAATTCTTATAGACAGAATAGAATCTGTGTATCTGTACATTACTCAATGTTTTTAGTGCATAATCATGGAATATGCTTGGGAGCACTTGAGTTTTACTTACCATCATAATCTTAAGAATATGTCTTTCAATCCTTAACTGTTACCAAATTAAATTTGTTGAGACAATTTGTCCCTTTACTGTACATTTGTTGGTTTCGGGGTATATGGAGACAATTTGTCCCTTTACTGTACGTTTGTTGGTTTCGGGGTATATGGAGACAATTTTTACCTTTACTGTACATATGTTGGTTTCGGGGTATATGGAGACAATTTGTCCCTTTACTGTACATATGTTGGTTTTGGGGTATATGGATGATTGTATGACTTCAATAGAATATTTCTTAATACCGACCTAATAAAGCTGTTCCAAAATCTTGCCACCTTATAATTAATTGTCCAGCAAAAATACATTTTGTTTAAATTTCATGAGGCAGAATAGATATAATCAATGTATGCGTGTATGTTATTGTGGAAAATACTTATCTCAGATTGTTTGATTTCCCCCCCCCCCTCCCCCACTAAATTTTATCATCTTTGTTATAATATTCCACCATAATACATACAAATGCATATTATTTTTTAAACAAAATGTAATATGTTTTGTTGATTTATTACAAGTGGGGTTGTACTTAGGTAAACAAAAGCAATTCTAGCTGGTCCCGTCGTATAGTACATCACCAGCCAAAACTCTGATCGCTGCTGTGGTGTTTAGTTTATATACCATTCCTGGCCACAATCTGTTTATTAACTTTGTGAGACACATATCACCTGTCCAAGTAACTGTCCTGTTTTTACAGGGTCCAATTTGATATTAACAAGTGAATATTATGTTTTCAACTTTTATTTTAAAATATATAACACTGATGAGTTGAACAGAAAATACAAAGAACTTATAGTTTTCGTGTTAAATTAACAGGGTGTAAATTTTAAAAGGATTTATATAGGAAAATCTGTAAAACAACGCTGGTTTCCAGAGTAGAGAGGTTCTGGATTTGACAGGGTAATTGATTAACATACCACTTTTTGTTTGTTTTCAGTCAAATGCCCTCACAACAGCTAGGCCATATTTTCAATTTACATGTGATCAACTGGTCACCAGAAAACCTGACCAAAATTAGAAAACGATTCCTTAAACATACATGAAAGGGTTGTATCTATAAAACCCTTACCATAAAACCATGTGCTTTATCTGTTTTCAGTCAGTGTTTGCAGAAAGTTTTTCACACTATTTTTCTATGCTGAATAAAAAAAAATCTTTGCAATTCCAATTCTTTCAGTATCATTAAAATGTACAGCCATAGCCTTAGCATATTATGTGGGGAGGAAATTAACTTTATCCCGGTAGTTTCAGCCTGAAATCCAGGCTTGCCACCCTCTAGGGCTACAAAAGTTGAGAGCTCGCACCAAGGCTGTCAAATACAAAAGTTTTGGGGTGTTGTCTATTTCCGTCATCATTAAAGTATCCACAAAGATCGTCATCGTAAAGTATCCACAAACATCGTCATTGTTTAATTTAATTAAGTATCCAAACATCGTCATCGTAAAGTATCCACAAAGATCGTCATCGTAAAGTATCCACAAACATCGTCATCGTAAAGTATCCACAAACAAGTCAATGTAAGTTTGTTAGCTTCGAGAAATTTATTGATGAGATTTCTTTATCAGGTACAATGACATCTATTAAATAGTACAACAGAAAAGCAAAAATCAGCCCTATATTTAGGACACGGGTGTACAACCATTGTACCAACACCCATACTGCACACACACGACATAGCACTTATCATTCTGTTGGTTAGGAGATCTAGAGTACACAGAGTACATGTGTAAGTAAACAATAAGTTTTTCTCAATTAATCACCAACGTATCCCTCTTTATAATGTCAAAATTTTGCCCGACAAATAATAATGATGGCAGCATAATGAGGCATTATTGTAATTTTCGAAAACAGTTCCCAGTTTTCATATTTACATTACCATAAAATTATAATCTCATAGACAGGAATATGTATAAAGTCTTCAGGGAAACATTCCATCAGACTTGTCACCTCCTTCAGTCACAGTACAACAACAGAACAATTATTTCAATGAGTAACAAAACTAGAAATGTGTTCGTTTTTACAGTAAAGTCCTTGGATACATTGGGGAAACAATTTGTTTTTTCATTTTCTTTGAGAGAGAAAACATTTATTTCAATATTTATATCTGAGAGATAATTGGAAAGAGAAACATTCTGTTTATTTCCATTTATCAGTATTTAAGAGAACTATCTAGAGAGATATTAAGATGGTTTCAAAGGGATTGTACTTTCATTTTATCAATTATTCAACATGTAAATTACATCTATTTGGTCCAAATTCACACATTAAAGCAAATGAACAACATTATCCTGTTTCTCCTCGCTGTGTTAGTTTATAACCATCAATGATAAGAAACACAAGCATTATAAATAACATAATGGGTTAACCCTTTCACCCCTATATAACTTTAGTAGACTCTACCATGCATTGATATGGATGAGTTCATTATGGTCTACAGTGGTGAAAGGGTTAAGACTAGCTACACCTTTATCTAATTGGAATGATTCACTACAACTGGAATTTTTGTAGTACATGGTCAAATTAATTATATAACATGAAAATAAATACACCATTTTACAAACATGTTTTCAGTTTATATAAAGTTTAACCTTTTACTCAGACACACCATAATACAAATAATAACAGTAAAACCTTGTTATAATGCCCTTCATTTCATCTGCCACCTCGCTGCAGGGGCACCTCACTTATCCCTTATAATGACATTTGCAGTATTGGTGTTTTTGTTATAAAACGTAGAAAATAACCTTCATTTCAATGATTGATTTCCTGTCTAGGATACACTAGAATGCATATAATGGGATGTATAAATCAAAATTAAAGGGGTGGGGGGAAGGGATTGGTCCATGAACGCCTGTCATTACATGCACTTGTTGTGCACATATTAAAATTTGGCGAAAACTGAATCAACACCCAGAGCTATAGCCCTGAACGTGTCCCTCCATTTAATGCCAAACCTTCTATAGTCTGCCAACGTTATAATGTAGCTGGAAACATTGTGGCATTATAACAAGGTTTTATTGTAGTTTGGAGCAAAATAAATAACACATCACTATACCTGTGAAGACCCCTCATAGACTTATCCAGTTACTCAGGACAATATTTCAAACCTGTACAGGCATGTTCATAACCTTCCTGTTCGTTATAACTTTAGCATTGATCAAAATATACACATCTAATACATAACAAATCTATATACTGTAAGTAAACATGTTTTAGTGGTAGCCTTATTTTAGCGCTTTTGGTGCTCAACTATAGCATAAAGTAAGGTATCATTTTCACTATTTATTGAATACCAGGTATATTGTAGATGTGCGTATCCATGCATCAATGCCCTATCTGTTTAAATTTGGTAATGCGCTAAATTAAGCACATTTACAGTACATATAATTGTCTTGGTGACTTCATACAATTGAACAACCAGTTTTCAGCACACCACTTTTGGTTATCAAAACAATATAAATGATAATTCCGGAAAATCATGTTATCATTATTGCAATGGCACAGCTAGGGATTTGTGATTACCGTATTTGACCAAACAATCACCCGCTATTACGTTTCTGGTCATTATATGTCACCAATCTCATATTTACCGACTGAATTTAAAATCTGTTACAGCTACTTCTTAGCAGAATTCTTTTTGCAATTAGTCTAATTTTTCCAAATTGTGAAGTCTCCATGGTACTTATGGGTCAAATACGGTATAAGTATTCAAATAGCAAGACACATTATTCATCTTTCTAATATACAATATGAAACAGAACATGATCCAAGTTTTACTCCTTTTTTTCTTAATGTAATTTCCAATAAATTTTCACAGGCAAAAATCTTGACAAAATGTTCACATTTTAATCCCAAAAATAACTTGGTATTCATGACGCCAAAATTACATTTGCTAGGTATATGAAATAAACATACAAAATAATGAGCACTGGATATTATCTGGATTTAACAAGATTAATTAATTGATACTTCTATTGCTATTATTAACAAAAACCAACACAAATTTTCTCTCAAAACTGAATTGATTGACTTGTGTTTTATCAGACCATTTCTCTATACTTCTTCGTAGTCTAGATAGCTAGTGGTTTTGATATCAAATTCTGAATTTCTTTGACATCAGAAAATAACCAAAATGCTTTCAATTAATGAAATATTGCAAGAATCTCTGGAAAACAACAATGTTCTATTTATATACGACAACTATATTAAGCATCTTTTACGTACGAAAGTAATATTTTTCTTCTTCTTCTGTGAAGCAAATGAAAACAAATTGCTTTAATTCTACTTTAAATTTCTATAGTAAATTTACTTTTTTCACATTTGGCAAAAATGAAAAATATTTTAAAAATTCCAGTATGAAAAGTATTTGAACCAAATATTTTACATATTTTGACAATTTTGGACATCCAGTGTTAAAAGCAAAACTGTTTTGTTCATAACCTCTGAAAGCTGTGCATTCATTATTTTTGGTTAACTTGATCTTTATCGATAAAATCTTACAGAAATTACATGTATATAAAGCAGCTTACTTCACAGTAGCTCAAATCTATGTCAATTCAGTTCTGACTAAAATGTTAATTAAGCTCATAAAATGACACCAGAGAACTGTTTTCCAAGAAACAACCACACATACAAAAAAACACTAGTTTTATAATTACTGGGTAAAAAGTCAAAATTTGTTCTACAGGAAAGCTGTTTATTGAAGCATGCCCATGCGATTCATCCCAGGCCGTGGTCCTCGAAAAATCCTTGAGGGGTCTCCTCCTATGGAAAAAAAAGGAGGCATAATAATGCATTAATGATCATGTTATATAGTGTCATCATGCTATGTACATGCTATGACGGTACACCAGCGGTAAGCCTGGGCTTGTTTACATCTCTTAACAGGGGTAAACAAACTTAACTCATTCACCCCTGAAGACACATTTGAACTCTTCCAACTCAAAGGTTGGAATAGTTCATAATGACATTTCAGGGGTGAGTGAGTTAATATAAACCATTTGAATATGACCTTTATAATACAAAATATGCCCGCTTTATTTAAAAATATTTGAATTTATGATCGAGAGGACATTGAAAAATGTCTAGGTCCAGGCACAGTGACATGTTTAATGACGAAACAGTTTAATTAGTGAATTTACCACCCAGAGGACGTCAAAAAATGTCTTGATCTGGGCATAATATTTAAGATCTAGATTGCAACTACTACTCAGAGGGCATCAAAAAAAGTCTAGATTAAAGCATTATGTTAAGATTTAGGTTGCGACTTCAGGCAAAACTAAATAAAACAATTTACTTTACCGACATAGATCCTCACAATTTTAAGGGTTACAGCCAGTTAACATTTCATTTTATTCACCTCAAAATCATGGTTTACAGTTGAAATGTTGATAGGAACAAATTAAAACCTATCACCAGTAAACATTTCACTGTGTTAAAATATCTCTGCGTGACCTCTTTTCTGCAAATTCTATACACGGTGGAAATAATTATTTCCTGGCAAAAATGTGAAAATAACCCTGTGTGAATTCAAAGCAGTATACTGGAGTATATCAAATCTCGTACAAGACAGTCAAACGATCAGAAGATTTTGCCAAAGACATGTGATCTGAAAAGGTGAGAAGCTTTTTCATTGGTCATGAGTAAAGGGACTGATCTGATATATCATGATGGGTTAGACAAGTGAGTCGGTGACAGTTCAGTAACTTGTGACATGTGAGTCGGTGACAGTTCAGTAACTTGTGACATGTGAGTCGGTGACAGTTCAGTAACTTGTGACATGTGAGTCAGTGACAGTTCAGTAACATGTGACATGTGAGACGGTGACAGTTCAGTAACTTGTGACAAGTGAGTTGGTGACAGTTCAGTAACTTGTGACATGTGAGTCGGTGACAGTTCAGTAACTTGTGACATATGAGTTGGTGACAGTTCAGTAACTTGTGACATGTGAGTCGGTGACAGTTCAGTAACTTGTGACATGTGAGTTGGTGACAGTTCAGTAACTTGTGACATATGAGTCAGTGACAGTTCAGTAACTTGTGACATATGAGTCAGTGACAGTTCAGTAACTTGTGACATGTGAGTTTGTGACAGTTCAGTAACTTGTGACATGTGAGTTGGTGACAGTTCAGTAACTTGTAACATGTGAGTTGGTGACAGTTCAGTAACTTGTGACAGGTGAGTCGGTGACAGTTCAGTAACTTGTGTCATGCGAGTTGGTGACAGTTCAGTAACTTCTGACATGTAAGTAGGTGACAGTTCAGTAACTTGTGACATGTGAGTAGGTGACAGTTCAGTAACTTGTGACATGTGTGTTGGTGACAGTTCAGTAACTTGTGACAAGTGAGTCGGTGACAGTTCAGTAACTTGTGTCATGCGAGTTGGTGACAGTTCAGTAACTTCTGACATGTAAGTAGGTGACAGTTCAGTAACTTGTGACATGTGTGTTGGTGACAGTTCAGTAACTTGTGACATGGGAGTCAGTGACAGTTCAGTAACTTGTGACATGTGAGTCGGTGACAGTTCAGTAACATGTGACATGTGAGTCGGTGACAGTTCAGTGACTTGTGACATGCGAGTCGGTGACAGTTCAGTAACTTGTGACATGTGAGTTGGTGACAGTTTAGTAACTTGTGAGTCGGTGACAGTTCAGTAACTTGTGACATGTGAGTCAGTGACAGTTCAGTAGCTTGTGACAAGTGAGTCGGTGACAGTTAAGTAACTTGTGACAAGTGAGTCGGTGACAGTTCAGTAACTTGTGAGTCGGTGACAGTTCAGTAACTTGCGACATGTGAGTTGGTGACAGTTCAGTAACTTGTGTCATTAGTGAGTCGGTGACAGTTCAGTGACTTGTGACATGTGAGTCGGTGACAGTTCAGTATCTTGTGACATGTGAGTCGGTGACAGTTCAGTGACTTGTGACATGTGAGTCGGTGACAGTTCAGTAATTTGTGACATGTGAGTCAGTGACAGTTCAGTAACTTGGGACATGTGAGTTGGTGACAGTTCAGTAACTTGTCACATTAGTGAGTCGGTGACAGTTCAGTGACTTGTGACATGTGAGTCGGTGACAGTTCAGTATCTTGTGACATGTGAGTCGGTGACAGTTCAGTAACTTGTGACATGTGAGTTGGTGACAGTTCAGTAACTTGTGACATTAGTGAGTCGGTGACAGTTCAGTGACTTGTGACATGACAATGTTTGTGTTATATCTTATGATGCACCGTGTTCTGGGTAATTCATAGCAACAGGATCAAAAGAATGCTTCAGGCACAAAAAAATAAGTGTGTGCTTCAGGTATCCCAACCTACCTAAGATATTACTGCCGACCCTAGAAATCTCATTACTGTACCTACTTGTGTCTAAGATTAATTTATTAGCCAGGCAAAGCTCACAGACACTCATTAAAATATACTTTCATCCTGTTCTGGGAGTCTGACACTATTCTTGACAAATTAATAGCCATTGTTAAGCATTGTAAAATTAGGTATAAAGCATACACATGTAATATTGATCCATGAAAATAAGATTTTTTTTTTTTTGCCTACCCTATTTTTTACCTGAAACACAAATCTTTTGTTTGGCCTAATCATTCATGTTATTTCAATGATCAGAAAATTCTCTAACTTTGATTGTTCTATCATGTTTGTTCTTTTTGTCTCCACATATTTTTAATGCATGGAGATCATATACCAACAGTAGATGACTTATAGAAGGTTAATGTTACACACAATCTCTATATAAAAGCTAGTGAGATTACAGTAATATGTCTTGTCCCTATGCACTTTTTACACCAGCACTTTGCTGACCTTTTTAATTTTAAGTCTGGTTCCCATTTATTTTTAGTAAATTGCTACTAAATAAACTATGGAAAGTACCTACATAGGATAAATTGTATAAGGCATTGAATTTTGGTTTGCTTCCAAATTTCCAAGCTGGTGGTTTGTGAGCTGTACTAGGGCCATGAGGTATCTGTGTGTGGATACAAATCTTCCTCAATATTAATGTGACATAGACTTTATGGTTGATATATAAGAATTAATAACAAAATAAAAACCCAATAAACTTTTCATTAAGGAAAATAGTAAATTTGTATACATGTTTCCCAGTAGTCATACTAAACAATTCACCCCTGGAATTTCATAATGAACTATTCCAACCTTTGAATTGGAGGAGTTCAATTGTGTCTTCAGGGGTGAATGAGTTTAAAATCATGTGTTTGCAAGTTCATATGAATGCATTACATTTTATGTTGAATGTTATGTTCAGTTTTCATCTAAATACAGATTACAGCTTCTGTTTATCTAAAACCTAGAGTCAGACTTCCTGCAGTGTTGAAAAAAACTTTTTGTTAAAACAAAACAGTGCATGCTTAATTGTATCTGTGGGAATTCAAAATAAAGGTGTATAAAAATAACTGATACATAAATGAAACTTGAAGGCAAAACTTTCACAGAATTTGTGTTCACCATCAACATCAAATAATTATGCAATATATTGAAAAGTTCAACAAAAATAAATACAACATAATACTTTTTTTTTTTTTTTATAAAATTGTGCAAAATTAAGTAACTCAGTAACAGATCAGTAAGTACAGAACCAAACAGTATGATAAAACAATAGACTGCATGCTTGATTCCAGCCACAATACACAAAGCTGGAATGGATACAATAACTAGGGATGCAGAGAAAGTATAGCTCACATTCAGAACCATGCACAATTCAACAATGCATATATCATAATTTCATAAAATAACAAATCAATATATATGTATACCTCATTACTGTAAAATCCAAATAAGTACATGTATTTTAAAAATTAATCATAATTTTACTAAAACTTATAAACCATGATAAAAACATTCCAGTAGGATGTTTTATATGGACTACAATATAGCAATAGCACCAACAATATCTTCAGCAAGGCAAACAGACAACAACTATATAACAATAGAAACAAAAAGAAAATGTACAACAAAGTAATTCATAGCTTACAATGTCAACAAAGGTCGGTTTTCAAACATTTAAATCAACAAGAGGCCAAAAGGGCCTGTATTGCTCACTGGGATATAAAAAAAACACCAACATCATGGTAAAACGTTTTCATTAAAAGTAATATTAAATGGGTCGATCTAGCATAAGTGCATGTTATTCTTCATGTAAAGTAACATTAAAATAGGAAGGGCCAATCTAAATAAAATAGTTTCAGTTAAAATTAATATTGAAATTCTTCAGGTAATTTTTTATGTTCTAGGATTGGGATCTCAAATATTTCCATGTTACGACCCCGAAGGGACTAAGACCCTAAAGGTGGGGCAAACCCAAAAGCAAGTTCTAGTAGCATGATTGTGTTCATCTCTTCATGCCCAGCAATAGTGTTTATCCGATTTATAGTGTCAGTAATCTCAACAATTTCAATGTTAGCACTAAGAGATTTTGTCAGTCACGTCTTGATGGCTAGCATTATTTCAATCCGTTCGTCTCCAATCTCTTGCGTTTCTTGTCGGTTTCTCATTTAGTGAATGCCTTCCTTAGTTTGTTAGGCAGGATCCATTCAATTGGGGAGAAAGTTTTGTGCATGAACTCCACTGGACAAACGCGCCTGCTTGTTGTGCGCTGGGCATGCATTTTGTTCAGAACTTGTGTGTTGGTCGTCCTGTATTTGTCAGTTCGCATTAGCAGTTGTCCAGTGGACCCGACTCATGGCCGGACTACTACCCAACATCCCAAGGGAGAACAGGCGGTGTGTAGGACACAGAATGCAC